TTAACAGGAGGTCAGAGACGAGGAGGCGCCTCTGGAAAAAAAAGGAAAAAAAGAGCAAATGGCTACAGTGGAGGGTTCAGCTGCTGAACAACCGCATGATGGGCAGGAATTTGGAAAGAGCTGCTTCTCTCTAGGAGATACACACAAACCTGCCTTTCCCTGGCTTGTTCCAGAGAGAGGAGTTATGCAGGACGGAGAAGTGGGATGAAGCTGTGTTCAAACAACAGGGCTGCTAAAACCAAATTGAATGCACAGGATGAACTGAACAATAACAGTGAAGTGACACAGACTTTGTCACTGGGATCTCAAAAAAAAAAAAAAAAAAAAAAGCAGCAGAAAAAGAATATCTAAGTCTTTACTAAACATCTGAAAGGTTGTAACTATTTGGTTAACATCACTACCCAACAGTTTTTTACAGAATACATGGAGTCATAGTCTCTGCAGAGGTGCACCAGCTAAAGGACAAGATGCAAAGTGCAAAATTTACAAATAAAAAACAGAAGAAAACAAAACAAGAAGTCTTTCCTTATGTCCAGCGAGATTTTTGCCAAGGGGGTTGTACAGCCATAAGCTGGTTCTCCTCCATCCATAGAGATTTCATGAACTCAGATAGACAAGGCCCTGAGCAAGCTGACCTAACTGAAAGGTTGGTTGTGCTTTGACAAGCATATTGGACTAGAGACCTCTAGAGGTACCTTCTGAATTAAACTATCCTATATAATTTATTATTGGTTTACACAGATGTTTGAGCTGTTTTAGAGCACAGATGCAAGCCTAACCACCTTCACACCTGTCCCACAACAATCCATTGCTTTATTGTGTTCTTGCTTAACAGATTATCTGCCCACCAGGTGAGCTGCAGTAACAGCACGCATGTAAGTCTTAGCACATAGAAAGTACCAGGCAATGCCAAATTCGTTCAGTTTAACCCAACCACATTACGAGGGTTGTACTTCCTTGGATTTTCCACAGACAGGCCTCATTATCCAACTGCTGTAACTGAGCTGACACACTATGAACTTGCTCAACTACACTAACTGGATTGCGCACCAAAGCAACTCCAAAGTTTGTAGAAAGACTCAACTCCCATTCCTGGGTTCCCAAGATCTCACCTTGTGAGCCTTCAACATCATGAGCATTTTCACTGCCCAAATGGAATGCCACCTGCACTGGGAAACCAAACTATACAGATAGGTTAAAAAACCCCACAGCTCATACCCCAACATAGTGCTGGTGCTACATGCCCAAAAGCAGACTGCAGGCACAGCCCAGAGAAATAGGAATTATCTTTTGGGAGTGAAGAGAGAAATGATCCTGCCTCTATGGCTCTTTTTTATCACTGAAAGAAGGTTTTTTTCCTATGGTCAGCATAAGCATAAAAAGCACCTGGCTACATGATTTTTCTCTAACAGAGATTCCAAAACAGTGGTATATGTCAGAAAATCACACAATAAGACGCATCAGAAGACCTCTATTCCACTGTTCTCCTCAAAGCAACGTCAACTTCCAAGCCACTCATAGTCTTGTTCAATTTAGCTTTGAAAGTCTTTAAAAGTTGAGATCCCTCCCCAGCCTGACACAACTCTCTCAGCATGGTCCAAGCACTGCTTCTTTCCCAGGGGGGAAAAAAAAAAAATAATTTTTTCCTTATGTACAGTCAGAATTCCACTTCCTGGAGGCTGTCCCTTGTAGGAACTGTGCGCTTGAGAAGAGTCTGGCATTATCTATGACCACCGCTAGATGAGGCAACTAGGTCCCTCCTCAGCCTTCTTTTTTTCAGGCTGATTAGGCCCAGCTCTCTCAGCCTCCTCTTATACACCACATACATATGAATCAAAATGCAACACCCTAAGGCACAGGAAAGGCTGTACTGCCACTTCCAGGCAAAAATTACAACTCTTGCTCTTGAAGCTCTCAGGCTCCATTAGCCTGGCTGTCTTCCAGGGCTGGATCTCTAGTTTTCCATGTCAAATTGCTGGGAAGAATAGATGCCCAAAGAACATTTTCTTTGGATCCTTCTTCCTCTTGTTCCCACTCCAAAGGGAGTTCACTGGATCCAAGACAGATAGAGGAGTGGATCTCAGGGCTGGGATTACAGAGATGGATTCTGGGGCAAGACCCTTACTCAAGCCCACAGGAGAGCATGACTATTGCTAATTGAGATTCCCCAGCACTTTTGGAAATTCTGATCTATCCAGCAACAACCAGAAGGAAGCAGAGAAAATGCACTAAAATACTTGAAGCTGGTCCCTTCAGAATTTCTTCAGTTAGTAGAAAAAGAGAAGCCGATGATACTGTTTCACAAAGAAAATAAACTGCATGGAACCAACTACTGCCACGTCATCTATTAGAGCTAGTGAGCAAGATTAGGCTGTTTACGCCATTTCAAATAATGTCATCATCCTGCTATCCTCAGATCTTTTCTACCCTAAGCTTGTTGTAAAAAATGTTATTTTTCAAGGTTGACACAGCTGTTTAAGCTCGGAGTCTCCCAGAAAGAAAACATGCAAGGTCAACATAAATGACAAAAGAGCAGAAGAAGCACTTGGCCCCTAGCCCAGGAATAATGCAAGTTAAGCAAGGTGAAAGGTCAAACTTTCAAACTGTTCCTCCCCAAGCCTCAGCAGTCCTGCTCTCCTATTAAAACTCAATGTAAAAGGACCAAATCCCAAGTCAAATGAATTTATATTCAAAAGTTCAACTGCTTAATGTGAAAACTCTGTTTGAAATTCCCAGTTTTATTTACCTGATTGTCTGATCAAAAGAAGCACTAAGAATTTGGCTGCTGTCTTTGGAGAAACTGAGGCATGTAACACCTTTACTGTGTGCTCGTTCAAATCTTCTCAGACACTGACCACTCTGGATTTTCCACACCTGGAGAGGAAGTAGCAAATGAAATGCAGGTGGTTACTTTGTTATGAGATACAGAAGTTTAAACATCAAACCCAATATGTATCTGTTTCTAAGCCCTGCTAAACTTCATTTGTTTTTTTATCAAATTGCAACATCATTGCAATTGCAAGTGAATCTTTCTTGTCACCACCTCTGCCAACATCTAGTAGAAAAAGATTTGTACCTTGATCTTTCCATCTTGTGCTCCAGTTGCTAGCATTTCTGTATCTCTGCTGAAGCACATGCACAGCACTGCATCATCCATCATCATAAAATTATCTTGTGCCTGGTACTTCAGATCCTAAACAAAAGCAGAAGAACCACCAGTCAAAATAGCTAATTCGATGAAATGTATTTTTAGGCAAAATGCAAAAGTTACAGTAGTTTTAACATCAGTTACATTTTCTAGCCTACCATCAAGCAGACCTCACAGCCTTATAATAACAGGGAAGCACCACTGTCATTATAACAGAGGCAAGAACAATGGTCCAGAAATGTTAAAAAAGTTATTGCAGAGGGAAGTATATGACAAACCAGAAAACTAAACCCACGTCAAGATTCCAGACTAATATTTGAAGCACCCAAGCAGACACCCTTTTCAGATTCACAGTCCCTGAAAAATTAAAACAAACAAAGTATAATCTCAAAGAATAAAACCAGGTGCTCTGGCCAATGAACTATCCGTGTGAAATAACGCACAATTTACCTTCCTAATCTTTCCAGTAGTGAAGTTCCATACTTCAATGAAACCATCAACCGAGCCAGTAACCAGATACTGTCCATCTGGGGAAAACCGAGCACACTCCACATGTGACTTCTGCCCAAACTGTTTTACAGAAGAATATAAATTTAGCCTATTAAGCAATTTAAAAGGAGCAACTCATTAAAACAAAGGTGTAATTTCATTTTTGTTGCAAAAATACAGTATTTTCTAGAGTATGCATTCACAAATTTAATGGTAAAGTACAAAAAAAGCCCGTCAATACCTGCTTACTAGCAGTTCAAAAACGAAGGGGAAAAAAAACCCCTCCTTTTGATCTGGTAATACCTGTGAAACTTATAACAAACACTCCATGATTTACAGCAGCAGTTGGGTTGGCTATCCTCATGTTTTTGTTTCTGCAGTGAATTGTGTATGTTAACAAACACCTTTCCAGTACCCAAGACACACCCCCAGCAGATTGCAGGAATTCCTGAACTAGTTCAAGTGGTTTCACTTGGAATGATGTTTCTCCGGTGAAGTTTTCACAGACAATGCTGATTTTTATTTTTTTTTTTTTATCTATACAGTTTTTAAATTTTAAAATACAAGCGGCCATGACAACTGAGTATAGAAAAAGGTTTTGGTTAATCAATATAAAAATCCAAGACGAGTACTGGTAAACAAAACAAGTTCTAATAAAACTTTTTTATCAAGCTGCTACTGAACACAACAAACTGATTTCACAAGTTTCGAGTCATGACTTCCAAAACACATCTGTTGCTTGTGAGAACTGATAGAGCTACTACAGTGAACTAAGTCTTCTCATTGTACAGAACTGCCTGGTGAAGCTGAAAAGCCTTCACAGGAGGAAACTCCCATATCATGAGTGCTGCGGGACAACTACATCATTACAGCACAGTTTTCTTCCTCTTTTGAAATCTATATGATAAAATCCTGTTACTGATCATATTAGTAGACCTGGCATGTTGTAGTTCATGACCAACACTCAAGTGGTTCACAGAAGCTGACAGGCGCACGCAGAAGCTTAAGAAATGAGTATTTCCTTAGACAAATCAAGAAGGGGACTAAGCCAACCACTTCTGAAAACTGAATGATTCTGAACTGTGAAGTCAAAGAATCAATTAATACATTGATCATATTCACAAATACCATGAGCACACAGCCTTGTTCAGGGACCTCAACTCAGACTCTAATGAAAAGTATCCTGATGAGATAAAGCACGGAGAACTCAAAAAAAAATACAAACAAGAACAGAGAGAGAGGGAAATAACTTACAAAAGAATAACAGAAGAATTCAGAAGGTTTACTAATCTCCCAATATGTAGCACAGGAAGGAACAAGCAGCAGTAACACACATAAAAGCAAGCACAACATCACCTTAATATGTCTGCTCAGCTGTGTGGGGAACTTTTCTTCTTCTACGTCTTTCACAGCTGCTTTGCCTCGGAACAAGTCAATTGTCATACCAGGAGGAAGCAGGCCCTGATGCTGCTGCCATTTCAGTGCCTTTTGAGGAGTTGAAAGACATACAGTTAGGTATCAGATACTCTTAAAAAGTTGCTTCTAATTAATACAATGCAGCAACAGTTTCTTATACCCTTACAAACTGTACACCTGCAGAGTTTGAGACAAATACACCGCAAACAATTACTTGAAACAAGACTTACAATATCGATTCCTAACTCAAGACCACAAGCAACAGAACATTATGCCCAAATTATTTCTGCAAGTGAGAATGACTGGGGCCCATCCTTCTCATTCTGCCTTCAGTATGCAGTATAAAGTACGTACACAGTGTGAATTCAATCGTGTGTTAACTTACATTACCTGACCTGTTGTCTATTTGCCTAGAACTGCATACATTAAAAATAAAAATTACATGACCTTGCGAGCAATATACAAGTGAACTTCATTCACGAGACAGAATCTTATAAAATCCCTTCAGCAGAGAGCTGCCTTCAGTCACAGGACACACCTGTTTGCAGAATAAATTCTGTCGGCCTTACTTAAAAGTTTAAAAAGTGAGTTTTAAGCCACAAAACTGCAGAATACATTAAATACTGTCTGCATAGAATATCAATTAATATATTCTGAGAATCAAAAAAGAGCTGTAAGTACAACAGAAACTGTGTGTTAAAATGTAGTTTGAAAATAATCTCCTTTATGCACTGAGTATTTCTTCTCTTGGAAGAAATCTACTGCTGGAGCGCTGACTTTTCCTAAAACCGCTAAATCTTTGATACATACTGAAAATATTAGTTTTAACTATACCACATGCAAATGTGCAATACTTAAGTTTTACTTTTATATAGTTGGAAAATCAACTACATTATAGCTAATTTTATGCAGCAAAGATCTACAGAAACTGACATAGCTACTAAAATATTTATCCGGAATTACCTGCCCTAACAACGCCATGAGACGAGATGGAGGTACCACGCTGACTTCTCCAGCTAAAGCTTGTGCAATAGCAGCTCTCCGCTTCTCTTTGCTACTTCCATCTGGGTATGCCTAGAGAGAAGTTATTTTCATGAAGTGATTCTTCTAAATGATTTTCCATAAAAGCATTAATGGGTCTGAACTGAAGCCCCTTCCAGATTCATTTTTGATTAGGCATTCAAAACTGCCCTTATCTTTAACACCAATCCTTGAAACATTTGGGATATGCTTTCACTAAAAACGCCAGACTGCCATAACTAGTCAGAAATAATACCTTGTTATTTTATTGTTACTATACAACAATAATTTTATTTACAAAGTACATTTCTTTCTGCATTTATAAGACAGGAAAAGCAAGGCACATAGGGCATCCTGTGGCAGGATACAGGTATAAATTACAAACTCCCACCTGCAGTATTCTTCAAAACCACTGCTCTGCTGCCTCGTGATCAAGTGTTACAGATCACTTCCCAAACACTTCATAAAACGTATAGAATCATCAAACTGGAAAGCTGCACATTCTCACTCCCCGAATGGAAAACAAAAGATGCCGTACGCCATTAACAACTTGGCCTGAAGCCAGGGGTCACGCAAGACAGCATCCTGAGGTCTCCGGAAGAGTGTAACATACCTCACGAGGATCAAAGTAAGACCTGGCCAGAAGGTTCTCGAGGTGGATGTACCGCTCTGGCTGAGTTTGCTTTAGCATGATCATGGGATCTGTCTGTCTCAGGAGAGACCTGGCAGCACCTAGTTCCCGGAGCTCAATCAACTCCAACACAACCTGCATCAAGAGACAAACATTGGCATCAGCAAAGCGGAAGCGGGAAACCCTAGAGAGGGGCTTCCACCCGGGCCAGAACAGCCCAGGCACAGCCTGCTCGCACTCACCTGCTCGTAGAGATCGATGAGGGTCTTGTCGGGCAGCTTCAGCGACTGTATGGCTTGCAGCACCGTGTCCCAATGCCCGCTGTTGATGTCGGCCACAAAGCTTTCGATACTGTCCACGGTGTTGAGGGACACGGTCGTTTCCTCCTGGAGGGTGGCGAGGGCTCGGTGGAGGCTGTTCTCTTTCAAGTACTGCATGATCAGCCGGATCACACTGCAGGGGAAAAACGGCCGCTTATCGGACCGGACCGGCGGGACGCCCTCACTCCGTCCCCATCTCAGCCGCCGAAGCCCCCTCCCGCCCGGCTGCCCAGCCGCAGCGAAGCTGGCACCACCCCCGCGACCGCGGACGCCCTCATGTCCCCCGATCACCTCAGGGACCGCCC